CGACGCATCGTGAGGTCGACAACGCCAGCAGCCGGTGGAGGGGCAACCTATACGCTGCAAGTACAAAATTTTGGCGGTAGTGTACCTCAGGTCGGCGATCGGTTCATCATCAATGGTCGCCCTTTCGAAGGCACCGGCTTCGGGTTAGGGCTCGATCCTACAACTACGCCCCTGGATGCGAGAGTTGCCAACAACCCGGCGGACAAGACGATCCGGCACACGCTCAACTCGGGCGGGGTTAGCAGACCGCGGGCGCTTCTGCCGAATCATGGCAGTATTGCGAATTCCGACACGGAGTTGTTCGACAGCTATTACCCCGATTCTGCTGGAATCGGTGGGGCCAACGAAGACTACGACGCGCCCGATTATCAGAACATGCACTTGGCGGTGATGGTGGCCGACCCGACGTTTGGCACTACGGTGATCCGTCCATCGTTTCACGACCCCGCACTGATTAACTACTGGATTGGCGCGGCTTCCCCCCGTAAGCCGGCCGACGGTTCGCCACAGCTGCGCGATCTGAAGCGGAAGGTGATGTTCCGCCCGATCGAAGAAGATCATCCAGGCTTTGCAGCTGTGAATCCAGCATTCGATCCAGTTGCTGGCCCATGGGACGTAGACAACGACAACAACGGCGAGCCTGACAGCGTGTGGATGGATCTCGGCTCACCGGTTCAGACCGACGAGAACGGACGCATGTATAAGCCGATGTATGCGATTCTGTGCCTCGATATGGATGGGCGACTGAACCTGAATGCACATGGCAGCCCGATGCACTTGGTGCGAACCGAAGCGGCCTGGCCACCGCTGCGGCGATTCGTCGGTCCGTTTGCAGACAAGCAGGGTGAGGCAGTATTGCCGATCGGTCAAGGTTATGGTCCGGCTGACATCATGTTGAATCGGTTGTTTATGTCGGGCGCTCCGATGGCGGCGATTCCGACCCAACCTCATGACCTGTATTACCTCATGCATGGCAACCCTGATAAGTATTTTGACAATTCAGGTGTGAAGGTCGCCGGGCGATATGGGGAGTTGCACTTGCTCGACCCGGCGTCTCTCTCGCAGCCACCTATGCCCGGGAGGACGACGCAGTGGACCGTCAATGGCAGCTGGGGGGTCGATGGACGTGATGATGATCTCGACGGCGTGGCCGATGGCTATTCAGACAAGCTGATGGCTGAGATCACCGGTGCCCAATTGTATGACGATCGATTTCCACCACCCGCAGTTGGCGTGGTTGATCCGCTCGGAAAGGCACCCGTTTCGGAGTCGGGTGGCGATATGGCGGCGTACATGACGCACGACGGTACGAACCCCCGCGGTTTGTATGGAACGCCGGCAGACCTGGACAGCGATGGCGGGGTGGCCTTGGATCTTGCAGGGAAACCGATTCATGCCTCGCACGGCGAAGGCGACGACGCGGTTGACGACCCGTACGAGCTCGATTTGACGAAGAACGGCGCACAGCGTCGCAAAGAAGCTGTCAGTGGACCGGCAGGGAAAGTCGCCGATGCCGACGCTCCGTTCACTCCGGCCGACCTTGAAGTGTTGCTGCGAATGTACGACGCCGACGTGGGAACGCTCTACAGCCGGCTATTCGAGTTGGCGCCCGATACGTTCGTCAATCGTCCTGCGGCTGAGCGTGAATTTCTCCGTGGGATCTTCACCACGGAAAGTTGGGATGCGCCGACTAGCGCTGCTTCGTGGGGGGCTCCGGAAATTGGACTCGCGTTTTCCCCTCCGCAAGTTCGAGGTGCAAGACTGCTGGCCAAAGTCCTCGAGACTCAGATATCTGATCCTGTGCTGAGAAATCTACAGCTACGAAAGGATCTCCACCCTCAATTTTTTGATGGATTGAAGCTCGACCTGAATCGTCCGCTAGGTAACGGAGTGGATGACGACGGAAATGGAATTGTTGATGAGCCAGGCGAGACGGATCCCTTGTGGACCGACGTAATATCGGGGGTTCGCGGTGATGCCGATAACGATGGCTTTGCGCATGCCTCCGGTACGGTTGCACAACGTGTGAATTATGCCAACGCAGCCCGACAGGCCATGGCTCGGCACTTGTATATGTTGGCGATGCTGCTGCGTAATCAGCTCGACGCTCTGGAAACTACTCCCCCGAACAAGCCGAAGATTACCGCTCGCGAGCTGGCGCAGTGGGCGATCAATGTCGTTGACTTCCGGGATCGCGACTCGATCATGACCGGTTTCGAGTACGACAAAGATCCCTTCGATGCCGACGGATGGAATGTAGACGGGGATCTTTCGACGGATGAAGGAGAAGATCGCGCTGTAGCCTGGGGCGTGGAACGGCCAGAGTTGCTGATCACGGAGACAATCGCAGGGCATGATCGAGGGACGGATGACGGGTCGACTGATGGTATGACCACTGATATGAGCGATGCGGATGAAGACTACGACCAAGTGGCACGCCCGGATGGTTGGATGGCCATCGAAGTCTATAACCCTCAGTCGATCACAACGCCGCAGCCGGCGGAACTTTATGATGCCAATGGGTTGTCCTTGAGCGCGACGCATGACGACATGCCATCTGGATCGCCAGTTTGGCGAATGGCATTTGGAAGGCCAGGTGAGCACCCCGAGTTCAAGGTTGAGCCTGACCAGCCTGACGTAGACCAATACACGATGCGACACGAACCGGTATTGGAAGATGCGGACGGTGAAGCGGACGCAACTGGTTATATCGAGCGCACTGTATACTTCACCGGTGCAGCACCTGCAATCGGAGATGCGGGGGTGGAATATCATCGAAGTGCAACAACAGATATAAGTATCGGACCAGGTCGGTATGCCGTGATTGGTTCCATAGGTGTTGAGGCCAATGGGACCGCTGTGAACGATCTCACGATTGGCCGACATTACAGTGGCGGGGTGGGGCGTCCGCAGATCAATCTAGGAGTGGCAAGTACTGAAACGGGAGTCCCAAATCTACTCCATGTTCAGAACGATGGTGTCACTCCAGCCTACCCGAAGTACACGGGCAGCCCTGACGGTGCTGTTACTCCAACAGATGAGGCAATCCGTGCTCCGATCTCGGTCATCATCGATGAGCCGTATACTACGAACCCAGGGCAGGGCCAACGCCTTAGTATTTCAGAACCAGTAGACGGTTACGGTAGGGATCCAGCTATGCTTGGCCCTGGAATGGCAGAGGATATTCCCTGGGATGAAGCTCCTGCCGATCCCGATAAAGAGCCGTGGTTCGCTCTCGTCGGATCAGGCGGTCCTGCAGAGTACGCAACCACAGGGATTGGTGGTTACACCCGAGTATATCTACAGCGACTTGCTAATCCCATGCTGCCTTATGATGCCAATACGAATCCATACTTGACGGTGGATTCGATGCCGATGGATTTGTGGGTTTACAACAGCGCTGCTAGTGAAGCTTCAATGGATCCAGATGGTGTTGAACCGGACGACATCCGCTCTCGGGAACGCATTGGTGATGCAGAAAATGCAGGCCCGCCAGCCATGGCAATTCCGGGTCAGCCTCATGATCGAAATACTAATATCTGGCGTCAGTGGTCCGGGGATGAAACTGCTGGGGCAGGAAATGCACCCGCACCGACAGCAGCCGAGTTTCAACACACATTAGGATACTTGAATTCTATCTGGCACACGCCGGAGGTTACCGCGGGTGATCATCGCTGGTGGACGCCGCAGTGGTTCCAGACGGAAACGAATGCTCTGGCTGCCAATGTGTACGATTACTCGGGAGCCACTGAGGAGTACTACACCGGGGCCCCGCTGACTCCCGCTCCGTGGTTTGCTTGGAATAACCGACCGTACGTTAGCAAGTATGAATTGATGTTAGTTCCCAAGAGCAGCCCGGCTGAGCTGTTGGCTGAGTACTCAACGCGCGACAATATGAAAGATCCGTATGACGCAGATGAAGAGGGCGAATTTAGTGACGAGTATGGTAGCGGTGGCGATGTCGTTGGTCACTTATTGAACTTTTTCTACCACAGCGATAAGACCGGATTTGGTGCGACGACGAAAAGAAGCGACCTTTATCGCATCTTCGATTTCGTTGATGTGAAATCTCGATTTACGGGTCTTGAAGAGATGATTAACCCAAATGCATCATCTTTTCAGAGTCTAGATTCGCAACCTCCAGCGGCCGGCACGGTTTTCGGTTGGGATCAGGCCGCCACGCCGCAGCGGAATCTGCACCCGCCATTTAACTTCATCTCCAAGTATCGTGAACCCGGCAGGGTGAACCTGAATACTGTCTTCGATGATGGTTCCACATGGCGGGCGATGCTGGGAGGATTCGATGGTTACCCTGGCGTTCAGGCTACCTGGCGGAAAGTGCTGGATAGTCGGCGAGGTTACGGACCTGAGACTTTGGTCGGCTCGCCAATTGACTACGCACAGGGCTACGATGTGAACAGTCCCAGTTTGGTTTCGCGGCCATTTCGATCCTTCGCGGGTGGATTTTTTGTTCCGGATTCGACACTTCAGCATCCGGGCATTGAATCGACGTTGTTGCGATCGATACCCGATGCGACTGATGCGGGTGTAGCTACGGACAAACCGTTGTTTGCATTGGATTCACCTTCGGTAAACAACGACACCAACAAGAATCCTTACTTCCGCTATCAGCTCCTCAACCGGCTGTCGAACATGGTGACGACACGCTCCAACGTGTATGCCGTGTGGATTACGGTGGGGTATTTCGAGGTGGAGCCTGTGGATCGCTCTGATCCACATTATCCGGCTGACTACTCCGATCCCGAGTTCGATCGCGTGTTCCCGGATGGTTATCGTCTGAAGGGGGAACTGGGGTCGGATACGGGTGATATTGAGCGGCATCGGGGGTTCTATTTGGTTGATCGGCTGGTGCCGGTGGCGTACGAGCGGGGGAAGACGCATAACACCCGTAAGACGATCCGGTTGCGGACGATCATTGAGTAGCCGGGTGAGTGGCCTGGTAGGCAATCGGTCCTGCGTGACGGTAGGTTGAAACCGTGATGGCGAGAAGCGAACCGATTGCCTACCTGAATGGTCGCATGGTGCCGCAGTCGCAGGCGGCGGTACCGCTTTCCGATGCCGGCTTTGTGCTGGGGGCGACCGTCACCGAGCAACTTCGCACCTTCGGCGGGAAGCTCTTTCGTCCGGCCGAACACTGGCGGCGGCTTGCGCAATCGCTGGAGATCGTGGGTGTCGATGCCGGGCTTTCTCTGGAACGGCTTGACGATGTTGCGAGTGAAGTGGTTGAGCGGAATCTGGCTTGCGACCCGCCCGGGGGTGAGCTTGGACTTGGGGTATTTATCACACCAGGGCCGTATGCCACGTTGGCTGCGGGCTCGGACACTGGGCCGACGGTGTGTGTGTACTCGTATGCTTTGCCATTTCACTTGTGGGCAGCTGCGTACGACGCTGGTGTGAAGACCGTTATCTCATCGGTGCGGCAGGTGCCCGGCGATTGTTGGCCGGCCGAACTGAAGTGCCGCAGCCGCATGCACTATTACCTGGCCGATCTGGAGGCCGCACGAAAGCAGCCGGGTGCGAAGGCGATCTTGCTCGACCACGACGGCTGCCTTTCAGAAACCTCGACTGCTAACCTGCTGCTGCATTTGCCAGGTCGAGGTTTGGTATCGCCACCCTCGCAAGACACCCTAGCAGGAATCACGCTCAACTTTGTGGGAGAACTGGCCGGGCAGTTAGGGATTGCGCTCGCACGCCGACCTGTTCCGGCAGAGGAAATTGAAGCCGCCGACGAACTGATGCTGACGAGCACCCCCTCTGGGATTCTGCCAGTCGTCGAGTGCGATGGCCGTTCAATCGGGGCGGGCAGACCAGGGCCTGTCTATCAGAAATTGCTGGCTACGTTCAGTGCGGCCGTTGGGGTGGATGTTGCCCGTCAGGCGATGGATGCTGTGGCGGGATAGCCGGCGGCGCAAGAAAAACGGCCGCCCGTCGCCAGAAGTTTCTAGCGACGAGCGACCGGTTGGTTAGAGAGGCCGGTGGGAGTCGAACCCACTTTGACCGGGTTGCAGCCGGTTGCCTGGCCGTCTGGCTCCAGCCTCTTGTGTTAGGGCCGGCGGTTCCTTGCCGCCCATAACCTATTCAATCGGTAAAGGGGGTTGTGACACTTGAGCGGGAATCACGACCGTTTTTCGCGTCTCTTTCCTGGCTCTGTTTGACTTTGCGGGAAACATTAAGTTTGACGATCGCTGCTTAAAAACGCAGGTTTTAGGAGCCCCGAACTCCTTTCGCCGAAAGTGTTTTCTCGAGCAGTCAGTTATGAAACGTCGAATTTCGAGCAGAAAGCCCCGCCGTGGAGCCACGTTAATTCTTATGGCCCTGATGATGGTCGGCCTGTTGGGCATGCTCGCCTTCGCTACAGACGTCGGTTACATCGTTCTGGTTCGCACTCAACTGCAAGTGGCTGCCGATTCGGCTGCAGTGGCAGCCGGCAGCGTGATGGGCGGATCACAGCAGGAGATTATTGGCACCGCGCGACGGTTCGCAGAAAGCAACATTGCCGGCGGAACCACGGTGAGCCTGGCCGACTCTGATGTCGAGTTTGGCACCTGGGACGCCAATCGGCGAGAGTTTACGCCAACTGGCGAGGTTGGTAACGCCGTGCGTGTCACTTGCCGGCGCGATGCGACAAACGCTAAAGGGGAATGCCCTCTGTTCTTCGCCCGAGTGTTTGGCAACGAATCGTTCTCGATGGAAGCCCAAGCCGTGGCTATGGCGAACCCCCGGGATATCGCATTTGTGGTCGACCTCTCAGGTTCGATGAACGACGACACCGAGCCTGGTTGGGCTAGCGATACCATCAACAAAGAGTTCTCAGGCCATGGAAAAGTTGGCAACCAACTTGCACAGCAGTTCTACGACGACTTTTCGTTCGGCGCCTTCCCTGGAAAACTGGAGTACATCGGCGATCCGTTGGGCTTACCGCGGAACAAGTGGGCTTATGCCGAAATGACGAAGAACGATGGACCGTTGAGTGGTCGATCGATTCCGAGGCAATATCGCATCAACGATGGTGACAACGAGGCCGTGCGAAAGCAAAAAGCCTATTCATGGATGATTGATCACCAAATCGCCGACGTAATGCCGGCTGCAGTTCCGGCCCCAGATAGCTCGCAGAACTACGCCTACTGGGAGAAGTACCTCGACTACATTCTTCTCTCGGTGAAGATCACGCCTCCGAAGCCACCTAGCGGCGGAGGTGGCGGTTCCGGCGGCGGAGGAGGTGGAGGAGGCTCCGGGGGCGGCGGAGGAGGTGGAGGTGGCGGCGGTAGTAGTGGACCAAAGGCCCCGCCGATTGGACAAGTTGAGCCGCCAACGAAAAACGGTGATTGGATCGCCTTGTGGAATGAGCCACCCGGTACGGCCGTGCTGTTTGAGGGCAGTCAACCGCTGGCCACTACGGCTTCAACTACATCGACTCTGGGATTAACACTGAATCGCGTTGGAATGTTGGCAACCAAGGGGACTCCTCCGACCAACCGAGGGCGAATACCACCGAGCCAGGACGGAGACCGAATCAACAAGTTCAATAACCCGAACAAAACGACGTTTCCGAAGGCGAAGAACGCGAACAAGTACCGCAACTGGATTGGGTATCTCACATACACTCAATTCATGCTCGATCATGGTCGGGATCTGCGACCCGTGGGAAGGGAATATGTTCCGCTCTCGATTAACAGCCGCGATTGCCCTTACCACGGCGAGGAAACCGCCGGAGGCACGTTCGATTTTCCTCCCCGCGAACAGCCGACGCATGCCGCACGACGTGCGCTGATTGCTGCGATCGAGGTGGTTCGCGATCGCAACTCGAGTCTTCCCGATCCTAGTCAGGGCGATCAGGTATCAGTGATCAGCTTCGACACCCTTTCCGGGGCTGGTCCGGTAGTGGAGCAGCCGCTCACGACGAACTTCAAGCAAGCCATGCAGTCATGCACGCGATTGCAAGCGGTTGGCGACAAGGGCGCGACTACCGCCACTGAAGGTGGGCTGGAACTGGCCCGTCAACACTTGGCCTCGAAGCGCGAAGGTGGCAAGGGCCGCGAGTTCACGAACAAGATTGTGGTACTGCTGACCGACGGTGTGCCCAATCTTTATGCCAGTTCCGACTCTGAGATCAATGGCTACATCGCACAGAATCCAAGCAGTGATTTCTACAACAATGGCGCGTACTGGTACGATGGTGCACTAATGCAAGTTTCCATCATGGATGACCAGCGGTGGCAGATTTATCCCGTTGGAGTTGGATTGGGTACCGATTACGATTTCATGGACCGCATGGCGAGAATGGGAAACACCGCCACAGGTGCCGGTCAAAGTGCCCGCGGTAGCGGGAACCCGGCTGAGTATGAGCAGCGGTTAACGGAGATCTTCGAAGAGATCATCACCAACCCGAAAGCTCGGTTGGTGCAGTAGGCTGGCAACCGTTTCTGGCTTGCGGCCTACCTATATGCGTCGGAACTGATCGCTTCCTAAGGCCGGTATGCTGGCCGGTCCTTAGTGTGCATGTTAAAGTTCGCCGGCGAAGATCTCGTCGACCTCGGCTGCGGTGGGATTGCGCCGCTCGCCGCGTGCGATGCTCTCGTACATGAGATCATCGGGGTCGTCGGCATGATCGTCGAGACCCAGCAGATGGCCGAACTCGTGGGCGATCACGCTGAGCAAATCGATTCCGTCGGCGGCTGGGCCGGTGGTGGCCTTTAAGCCTTCGGAGGCGAGAAGTTCATATTCTTCGTCCACACCAGGCGTAGCATCGACGAACCATCCATGCCCTGCGGCGTTGACATCGAGATAGAGGCGGTCGTTCACCACGAGCCCTAGGGTGGCTCCGGGAAGATCGGCAATTCGGATGTCGGCCGAGGCGAGTGTAGCAATGCCGTTGGCATTGAGACCTGCGGCGGCCCACTTTCCGGCCGCCTCGCTCAAGAGAGTTTGAACGTCTGCCATATCGAGCGATGGAGCGTTCACAGGTGAGCTGCTCACACCCTGAGCAGCGACAAGCGGCTGAACCGTGTCGGTCCATCTTCCGGCAAGTGGAACCCAGCCGGGCATGCCGTAGTTAAACGGCGTTACATCAGCCACACCAGAGTCGTTTGAATTGCGAAGGAACGAGGTCGCGGTAGCCGAGTTGTGAACCCCGATGGTATCGATTCCGTCGTTGTTCCAGTCTCCGGCAAGGGGAACCCAGTTCGGAATACCGTAATTAAACGCTGGCACATCAGCCACGCCAGAGCTGTTTGAATTGCGGAGGAAGAACGTTGCCGTGGCCGCATTGTAGAGCCCCACGGTATCGGTGCTGTTACCGTCCCAGTCGCCCACAATCGGGGTCCAACCGGGCATGCCGTAATTGAAGGCCGGTACATCGGCCACGCCGCCCGAGTTGGTGTTCTTCAAGAAGAACGTCGCCGTGGTGGGATTATAGACCCCGATGGTATCGATCCCGTCACCGTTCCAGTCTCCGGCCAGGGGAACCCAGCCGGGCATTCCAAAGGCGAATGTGATATCGACTGGAATGCCATCCGCGTTGTCGTTGATCAAGCGGAATGTCGCCGTGGTGGGGTCGTAGACGCCCGTGGTATCGACACCGTCGCCGTTCCAATCACCGGTGATGGGGATGTTGCCGCCGCTGCCGATATTGAAGGCGTCGATGTCGGCATCGCCCGAGTCATTCGAATTGCGAAGGAAGAAGGTGCCGGTGCTTGGATTGTAGGCGCCGATGGTGTCATTGAAGCCCGGATTGCCCTGACCGCCCAGCGAGGGCAGTGTGATGATCACACTGTCGAAGTCGACCAGTTCCCCGCGGTTGCTGTTGTTGTTCTCGTTCGACTCGGCAACGGCACCGCCGGCGTCGACGATCATTCCGATATAGTAAGTGTTGTCGCCGTTTCCATAGAGGATTGCATCGGTCGGCAATGTGAGGTTCACCGAGTTGGCCTGGGAGCTATTCCCTGCCAAACCATTGAACGAAAATTGGCCAATCAATCGGTCGGAACTGTTAATCAGCGAGTTTGAGCTTAGGTAGAAACGGACAGAGAATGGGCCAGCGTTGCCTGCGGCAGCATTCTGAACGGTGAACTGCAGATCGAAGCTGTCGCCTGCCTCCAGCGGTTCTTGCACCACATTGAAGTTCGTGCCGCGCAGATCGGCCGGCACCTGGGGAACAGTAATCGTTAGACTGTCTTTGTCGAGCAAGACGCCACGGTTGCTGTTGTTCGACTCATTGCTTTCGACAATGTTGTTGTCACGGTCGATGACCATGCCAATGTAGTAGGTGCCGGTTCCATTCCAGAACGCGTTGCCGGCCCCAGGCAATTGCAAAAGTTGCGTCAATTCTGCTGTCGATTTGCCAGACTCGATACCGCTAATCACCCGTTGGCCGAGGAAGAAGTCGTCGGTGGTGATCGTGCTGTTCGTGCTCAGATAGAAATCGACGGTGAACTGCGAGGCGTTCTGCGAGCCGTTATTGTCGAGTTTGAAATTGACGGTGGCCGTGCTCCCCGCCGTGGCAGGGTCGGTAATTGCATCGAAAACGATGCCGCGCATGTCCGGGTTCGGGCTTGGCGGCGGGTCGTTTGGATCAGAAACCGTGACATCGATCACATCGTAATCGATCCCCAGGCCAAGGCCGCTATTGTTCAACTCATTGGCTTCAATCAATTGATTGTTGGCATCGGAAAGCACGCCAATGTAATAGTTGCCGGAACCGTTAATAGACCAAATGGGATGATTCACATTCGGCAAAGTAAAGGTCCGCGTGATCAGGTCCGAATCGCTATTTCGCTCCAGACCACTGATATTCACGGTTCCGAGAACAAAGTCTCCAGCGCCGATTTGATTGTCACGGCTCAGAAGCACATTGACCTGGAAAGCCTCGGCTTGTCCTTGACCCAGATTGGAAATGTCGAATGTGACCGTGACCTCTTCGCCGGTGCCAGCTTCAGTCTCTGTGATATCGAACGTGTTGCCGGCCACATCCGGAGGAAAAGGTACCGGGGATAGGAACACGGTCTCGAAATCGAACAGTTCACCAACGCCAGTGTTGTTGAACTCATTCAATTCAAACACTTCGGCATTGGGATCGATGACCATCCCGATTTTGTAGTCGCCTACACCACCAAAAGTATAAGTTGGCGAGAAGACTGGCAGTTCGAGCGAGGTTCGAAGGATATCACTCGTGTCGAAAGGTAGCATACCTTCAAAATCGAATTCTCCAATGGGATCGGCAAGTCCGGCAGAGATCAAATCACGATAGGTGCGGCCATTGAAGTCCACATTACTATCAAAGATGAAGAAGCCCACATTGAAAGGACCGGCAATCGCTTCGGATTGATTGCGAATCGCAAACTCAATGTCAATTGACTCACCGGCTTGAAGTGGTGCAGAACCAACCACTTCAAAGCTGTCACCTACAAGATCGGATAACGGCTGGGATTCGATATCCCAGCCGATAAGGTCTAACGCACGCCAGTCGGCCCTGGAGAAAATATTGTAGGTATTTCCTGCCTCGCCAAAGAAGCCGCCTTGCATCACCCCTATTGGGGGATTGGCCGAGGAATCCCAATTCGTAACGGTAAGGAGGGGGCCGATAGTGTCCGAATCGAGTCGCCACTCATCGTTCGTGTCGTCAAAGATATGGTCGCTACCAGGAGTCAACTGACGAGGGAATGTTCGGAAATCCTCCGGCGTGGCGGGATCGAACCCTGCGGCTGTATTCTCAAAACGAAATAGATCGAGCACCGTCGGGGCAAATGCAGTTTCTTCCAGTGCGAAGATTTGCGGACCAATAATATCAACCGACGACCTGAATCCCAGAACATTGCCGATTGCCGAGGTCACTGCGGCGGTAAAGCTACGCTGAGTAAATCCGAAAGCATCAACCCCGATCCCGTCTCGATCGTCAAAATCCCACGATACTCCATCGAAATCGTCAACGGCATTTCTCACGCGATCGAGCGTGATAGTTCCGTCCACACCATCGAGCTGGCCGTTGATATTCGGAAGACCAAGTGCTTTCGCATTTGCCTTGTTGACAGCGATCTGATTGGGGATCAGCGTGAAGTCTCTCGGCAAACTTGCGTTGAACTCCAAAGCTGTGGGGAGTGAGAGCAGGATATCTTCATCACCTTCCGGAACACCATCTGCAATCATGGCGTTGCGAATCGTGTTGAAGTCAGAAGGTAAAAATTCATTCTCCACGATATAAGAGAAGGGCGAAATGTCCTCAATGTCGATTTCGATAGTTACCGTGATTGGATCACGGATTACGCTCTCCCATATGCTCACGGCGCGATTGATCGCGAAAAGAGCCCCGGGGAAATGCGGCTCATCGCCATCAAAGAGGTTGTCGCCGGGGATAATGTCGATATTGAACCCCGACTGGAACGGTTCGATTGCCAGCAATCGTCGTTCTTCCAGTGCTTCGAGTGTTCGATGTTGCCTGGAGTTGAGCTGGCCTAGTTTATTCTTGCGTAGGTTCCGCATCTTGTTTTTGGCCTGGGTAAGCTTGGGTTAGTACTGCCCGCAGTAGGGAGCTGTCCTCGCAGTGCGAAAACGATCTCAAGAACTGGCTCGCTGCATGGAGCGTGTATTGAGAATCGTATTCTGCCCGCGGGCTCCCCACGGGAAATGCCTCTTCTTACGCGCCCGTCGATTGTCCGCTGAGGGTTCGAGGGGGTCAATTAAAACGGATGGTCTGCCTGTATTACAGCTTCTGCACGCTCCGTGTTCTTTGGGATAACTCGCACAAAGATGCGGCTCTCCTTTCGCACAACTGCGGCACGTCAATCAGCTGGTGAATCGAAGGAATGTAATATTGGGTAGGTTGCACACAATGCAGGTCGGGTTTTGGTAGTTGCTTACCACGATCCCGAACCGAACGCTGCGTCGGCTTCAGCGGCAGTCGGCGTTCGACGAACCCCTTCGGCCAGGCTTTCGTTCATTACAGCGTCATCGTGATTTGCGATGTCGGGCAGCCCCAGCATGTGGCCCAATTCGTGAGCCAGTACGGTGAGCAAATCAATGCGGCCGGCGGCCGGGCTGTCGCCTGTGGCCTGCAGGCCGTCGGCAGCGAGCAGACCGAATTCGTCGTCGTCGCTCAAGGTCGAGTCGACAAACCAGCCGTGCCCTGCGGCGTTGCTGTCCAGCAGAATGCGGTTACCCGAGGCTCGCCCGAGTTGGGCACCTGCCAGGTCGACAACTTGGACATCGACGCTCGAGAGCAGTTCTGCCCCACGTGGATCAATTCCAGCGGCGATCCAGCGACCGATGGCCTCTTGGAGCACAGGCATCAAGTCGTCGGTCGAGAGCTTCTCGCTGACTGCCGAGCTTTGGACCTCTCCGGCTGCCGCTACGAGCGAAGCCCCATCATGCATCCAGTTACCCACGATCGGGTACCAGCCAGGCTGACCGAAGTTGATGGGTGCTACGTCGGCATTGCCGCTGGTATTCGAGTTGCGGAGGAAGTATGTGGCCGTATCGATGTTGTAAGTACCAACCGTGTCGAACCCGTCACCATTCCAGTCACCGGCGATCGCCATCCATCCCGCGATACCGTAATTAAACGCCGGCACATCGGCCACTCCTGAAGTATTTGAGTTCCTCAGGAAGAAAGTTGCTGTAGCCGAGTTGTAGACACCCATTGTGTCGATGCCATCGCCATTCCAGTCGCCAGCGATGGGTGACCAGTTGGGCATGCCGTAGTTAAACGGAGTTACGTCGGCCACACCGCTGGAGTTGGAGTTGCGAAGGAAGAACGTCGCGGTAGCAGGGTTGTACACGCCGATCGTATCGATACCGTCGCCGTTCCAGTCACCGGCAACCGGTACCCAGCCCGGCAGTCCGTAAGCAAAGGTTCCAGCATCCGGCGTTCCCGAATCGTTCCCGTTGCGGAGGTAGAATGTGGCGCTGGTTGGGTCATACATGCCGGCCGTGTCGATACCGTCGCCGTTCCAGTCCCCCACGATCGGGATCCAGTTCGAGTTGCCCGCTCCATAGTTGAAGGGGGTCGCGTCGGCCACTCCGGTATCGTTCGAGTACCGCAGGAAGAACGTGGCGGTTGAAGGATTATGGGTTCCCACACTGTCTTCACGATCGACGGGGAGCACAGGCGCCTGCGGAACACTGTTCACCGCTGTTAAGCTCACGTGAGGGTTTGTGCCCGCCAGCTCAACAATGTAGGGCGTGCCCGGGGTGTTGGCCTTGTGGATGAACTCGACTCCAGTGTTGGTTGCCGTGGAGAGCACTGGGTTCAAGTTGGCATCCAGCAGCCGCATCGAGACCGAGCCCTGAGCGGGATTGTAATTGGCCGAAAGATCCAGAGTGCCATCCCAACCGTCGTTCAAGGCTAGCCAGACATTGCCGTTCGCCAGGTTCAGGTTCGACGGCGCAGCGCCCATCACGTTGAATTCGTCGGGAGTTACTGTGCTGGCAAAGAATCGGCCAGAGAGGGCCATGTTGAAGAAGTTGAGGATTAGTCCCCGTTCGCCAAAGTTGTACCCAGAAGCATTCACGCCCGAAGGAATCGTGATTAGTGAGAATTCGTCGTTAGTTACCGGCCCGGCGGGTGGTGGGAAGCCAGGCGTATCCTTACCGTCCTGGAACTGCACGGGCTGCGTCTCGGTAATGGTGTAAACGCCGGCGGGCAAGGGGGTGAAGTCGGAAGACGAACTTAGCGAGTAGTTGCCATTCGCATCGGTGAACACCACCTCGGTGAAGGTGACAGGCCCGTCTACTTTACGGATGGTTACTTGAGTATTGGGGATTCCGGCTTCGCCCGCCTCACGGAATCCGTTGTCATTCAGATCGACGTAGACCGATCCGGAGATGGTGATGGCTTCGCCCACGCGAATATCTACCGTGGCGAGGTTCGACAATGCACCTTCGTTATCGCGAACGCGGAACGTGAACAAGTCCAATCCACCGAAGCCAGGATTGGGCACATAGGTCAGCTCACCGGTAACGTTGTTAACGATGAGGTTTCCGTTCGTCACATTCTGCACGATGTTCAACGTGCTGAAGTCCAGCGTGCCATCAACATCGAAGCCCAACGAAGAAACAGGAATGACAATGGGCGTATTTACAGGGGTGACAACGCTGTCATCGAGCAGAACCGGGGCGTCATTCACGCTCTGCACGGTGATCGTAACGGTGGCCACATTCGAGAAACCGCCGTCGTTGTCTTGCACGCGATAACTAAACGTGTCGATGCCGTTGAAGTTCAAGGTCGGCGTATAGGTCGCGACGCCAGTCGCCGGGTTGATCGATAGCGAACCGTTGGCTGTTGTGCTCTGTAGTGCAACCGTCGAAGGCACAATTGTTCCGTTAGGATCGAAGTCATTACTGAGAATGTTAATGGCCAGAGGACCACCGTCTTCGATCATGAACGCCATGTCGTTGGCGGCAACAGGCAGGTCGTTCACTTCCAGTACTTCGATCGAAAGTGTGGCAAAATTCGAAACCCTGCCGTTGTCATCTCGTACAAAATAAGTCAGCGAGTCGTTCCCGAAGAAGCCAGCGGTCGGGGTGTAGAAGATGGCCCCGCTGTTTGGATCGACCGTTGCCACACCATTATCAGGCTGGTCGAAAATCATCACGCTGGTTGGGTCAATCTGTCCATCGACATCGAAGTCGTTGGCGAGGACATTGAACACCGTTTGCGTGTTTTCGAACAATTGGCCCTGATCGTTCACGGCCACCGGGGCATCATTCGCAGGAACGACGAAAATATTGACCGTCGCTGGGAGCGAGAAGTCACCACTATCGTTCGCCACGATATAAGTAAATAAATCCGACCCGTTGTAGTTGGCATTCGGGGTGTAAGTAAGGCCTCCACCAACGATCTGAACTATTCCGTTCGTCGGGCCATTCACGATGGTCAGCGTGGCAGGGGCGATAGACCCATCGACGGCCACGTCATTCACCAAGGGGTTAATTGGATTGGCGACACTATCTTCAGCTACAACCGCGAAATCATCGCTGGTCAATGGAGGATCGCCCACAGGGGTAATGCCGATCACCACGTTCGCAATGTTCGATACTTGCCCCGCAGTATTGCGAACACGGTAGGAAAAGCCATCGCCGTCTAAACCAACACCAAAAACATTCGCGTCCGGGGTGTACGTCACCACACCCGTTACAGGATTGACTGCCAAAGAGCCCTTCGTGGTCGGAGTCATGATCTCAACAGTCGACGGCGCGATTGGCGATCCGATGGCCAAATCATTGTCCAAAATGCGGATCGTCACAGGCGTGTCTTCTTGGGTCCCGGTCAGGTCGTCCATCGCCACGGGTGCTGGGGCGTTGGCCAGCACATCAATCGCTACGCTGGCCACGTTCGACAGGTCGCCCGAGTTGTCACGTACGGTGTAGAGGATGGTTTCCTGGCCGACAAACCCCGAATTCGGCGTGTACAGAATCTGCCCGTTCTGTGGGTTCACCACCGCGTTGCCATTGTTGGGGCCGCTGACGATGGCGACCGAAGTCGGGTCGAGCACGCCATCGGGATCGACGTCGTTGGCCAGCACGTTCACCGGTACGGTGGTGTTGATCAGCGTAGTAGCCGTATCGCTCGTGGCGATCGGCGCGGCCGAAAGCATTTGCCGCTGTTCGAGTGGCTCGGTGGAAAGCTCGCGGTGCGAACTCCCTTGCAGGCGACTTAGCCGACGAAAACGAGACGCAAAACTCGATTGACGCGAGCGCATGTTCGACCCGCGTCCAAACAGAGAAGACTCAATCACGATATATACCTCTTACTGCGATTGTTCCAATGCGCAACAAGACTCTCTTCGAGAATGCGTTCCGTGCCCCCAAAACCATCCGAGTTGGGTAGTTTCTGCCCAGTTCGCCGTGGAATCGGCCCAAGAGTCGATAGACCGCCCGCGACAGTCGTCCTTGCCCTGAACCCCTTGCAGGCCTCGAAAAAGGCCATTTCCCTTCAGAGTGCGAAGGACCCGCGCGACCGTTATGAACGCTGAGCGCCTGACCTCTGAACCATCGATTATGTTTGGAGGTAGGGTAGGCGTCAAGAAAATGGAACAGCAGAAATGGGCAGTTTATCGAGGTTTTTCCCGGTCTGATGGCGGTACTGCCGCCGGAAGTCGGTGTTGAAAATGTGAAGTCCAAATCTGGCTTAGATGGCCTGTTCCTGTGAGTCGCTCCCTTGAGGTCTTTCCCGGGTTCGCATGAATTAGTGGTGGACTTCGTGGCATTGCCAGAGAGTTGTGACCTCCGCAGATTGCAATCCGCTACTTGCCTCAGCTCCGGGTGGCTTTGATCCAGCAACCAAGCTTCTCGTATCCCCTCTGGCCGGGTACCCTGGTTCGATAGTGATAAAAGGCACTTGAGTATGTGAATAACTCCTACGGGCACGCGATGACCTCGATTACACCAGAGCAGTACGAGAAACTTGGGGCGTTCTACCTGGGACGGGAATATGACCTGGGGGAGCGAAACTTGCTGGATCCTTTGGTGTTGTACGACTCCAAGGATCTGACTACTCATGCTCTGTGTGTGGGGATGACCGGCAGCGGAAAGACAGGGCTCTGCATCTCGCTGCTGGAAGAGGCCGCTATCGATGGCATCCCGGCCCTGGTGATCGACCCCAAGGGCGATTTGGCGAATCTCCTGCTCACCTTTCCGAACATGGAGCCCAGCGATTTGCTTCCCTGGCTCGAAGCCGACGCGGCCGCCCGGGCGGGAATGACGCTGGAGGAGCTCGCCGAGCATGAGGCCACCAAGTGGCGCGAGGGGCTGGCCGACTGGGGGATGTCGACCGAACGGATCGGTTTGCTGCGCGAGTCGGCCGACGTCAGCGTTTACACACCTGGCAGCGACGCTGGGCTTCCGCTTTCGGTGCTCGCTTCGTTCAGTGCACCCACGGCGGAAATGTTGAATGACGCCGATCTGATGCGGGATCGCATCAGCACCACGGCATCCAGCTTGCTGGCGTTGTTGGGTATCTCGGCCGATCCGATTCGCTCCCGCGAACACATCTTGCTGTCCACCATTCTCGACAACCAATGGCGCGAGGGTCGCGACCTGGAGTTGGGCGATCTGATTCGACTTGTGCAGCAACCGCCGGTCGATCGTGTCGGGGTGCTCGACCTCGAGTCGTTCTATCCCGAGAAGGACCGATTCGAGTTGGCCATGGCGCTGAACAACCTGCTGGCCGCCCCCGGCTTCTCGAGTTGGCTGCAAGGCGATCCCCTCGACGTGGATCAACTGCTCTATACGCCCGAGGGTAAGCCACGCCTCACGATCCTCTCGATCGCACATCTTTCCGACGCCGAACGCATGTTCTTCGTTTCGCTACTACTCAACGAGACGATCGGCTGGATGCGCTCCCGCCCCGGCACAACCAGCCTGCGGGCGATCGTGTACATGGACGAAATCCACGGCTACATGCCGCCGGTGGCCGAGCCAGCCTCGAAGAAGCCGCTGCTCACACTGCTGAAGCAAGCTCGGGCGTTTGGCGTGGGCGTGGTGCTGGCCACGCAGAATCCGGTTGATTTGGACTATAAGGGCCTCTCGAACATCGGTACCTGGTTTTTGGGCCGATTGCAGACCGAACGCGATAAAGCCCGAGTGCTAGACGGCTTGGAAGGCGGAGCCAACAGTACGGGCGAGCGATTCGATCGCGCGGCGATGGAACGCACGCTGGCCGCCTTGGGGAAGCGTGTCTTCCTGATGCACAACGTCCACGACAACGAGCCGGTGGTGTTCAACTCTCGCTGGGCGTTATCGTACCTTCGCGGTCCTCTCACCCGCGACCAAATCCGCACGCTCATGGCCGACCGCAAGGCTGAAATGTCGGGTGAAGCCAACCAGGAAGTTTCCGATGAGGATGCGGCAATCGGAGATGCTTCTGAATCAGCCGAAACAGACACTGCCGTATCTGCACAGGACCCCAACATCGAAGACGGCAAACGCCCCGTGCTCCCGCCGGAGATTGAACAGGTCTTCGTGGAAAACCAGATGGCTGCTGACGAAGACGAAACTGGCGACGCTCCGAGTACGTATCGGCCTTACCTGCTCGGTACCGCCACGGTGCACTTTGTAGATACCCGCCGGGGGCTCGAAGCCGACGAACGGATTGCACTGCTGTTTCCTCTAGTGGACGGCGTACGGACCATCGATTGGACGACCGCTAGGGTTTATCCCGACGGTGAGCTTGCGTGGAGTCGCGAGGCGGATGAGTCTGGCCAGTTCGCGAAGCTCCCCTCAGTGGCTCAAGCCGCCAAGCGGTACCCTGTGTGGCGCAAGTCGCTAGCTGGATATCTATACCGCAAGCGTCGTTATGAGTTGTTGAAGTGTTCCGAACTCAAGGAAATCTCCAAGCCAGGCGAAAGTGAGCGGGACTTCCGGATTCGGATCTCCGATTTGGCCCACGCCGAACGCGATCGGCAAGTCGCACGTGCTCGGGAAAAGATGGCCCCCAAGCTGGCTCGGCTCCAGGATCGAATCGATCAGGCCCGGGCAACCGTTCAGCGCGAGCAGGATCAGGCGAACCGATCGACGATCGAATCGGTGATCTCAATCGGCACGACAATTCTCTCGACCATGATGGGGCGAAAAAAGCTCTCTTCGACGACGGTCACTCGAGCAGGCACTTCCGCACGTTCGGCCACGCGAGCCAGCAAGCAGCGGCAGGATGTGAAAGATGCGGAACAGAAGCTACAAAAATACCAGCAGGAAATGCAGGAACTCGACGCTTCGTTTCAGGCTGATTTGGAGAAGATCAAACAACAGTTCGATCCCCAACATCTTGAGCTCGAGACGTTGACGCTTAAGCCCCGCAAGTCCGACATCGATATAAAGCTGTTGGCTGTGGCTTGGAAGCAAGCCTAATCGGCCGTCTTTCGGCGTCATGAAGACGCTGGAGTTATCGCTCTCACTTCGATTCCAGCGTCTTCAAACGCTTTTCGAGTTCTTCATTCGTCTTGCGTAGCGAATCAACCTCGTCGCGCAACTTGTCTACCGGTGAATCATCGCGCAGCTTCTTCACGGCGTCGTCAATCGTGCGTTGCATGCGGGCAGATTGCTCCTCACCACGCTGTGCAAGCAGGATGTCGATCGCTGCCGCATCCCCGGTTTCGCCGAGGGCGATGATCGCGTCGGCCCGAACCGAACGGCGTTCATCGTTAAGCTGCTCGGCCAGCTTCTCGGTCACGTTCTGCTGACCCTTGCCGAGCTTGGCGAGGGCTTTGAACACAGCCCGGCGGCGGTCGGGGTGCGATGGGGGTTCGAGAATGGACAACAGTTGATCAAGTGCCGAGCTGTCGCCCAACTCGGCCAACCCTTCGCAGGCAGCTCGCAGTACCATCTCGTTGTGGCTAGGCATTTCCATCGCTTGGGCCAGATCGGCTTTCGCTCCCACGCCATCGACCTCGACCAGCGCTTCGATTGCGGCGGCAATCGCGTAATAGGACTGATCTTCGTCGATCACCTTTCGGAGGCATTCTGCCGTGGCTTCTGAAGGGTACTCGTCCAGGGCGGCAATCGCCTCGCGTCGAACCAGCGACTTCTCGTCGCTGTTGGCCGCTTTGATGAAGGCCGCCTGGGCTTCCTTTCCACCGAAGGGTCCCAACGCTTCCACGGCCATTTGTCGTACGGCCCAGAACGAATCGGTAGAAGCAGCAGCGATCAACGCATCCCGGGCGTCGGCATCGGGTTTGAATTCCCCCAATGCTTCAGCCGCCCGAACGCGAGGAATGATGTGTTGGTCGTGAGCCAACTGATTGATCCATTCCTGTTTCGACTTCGAAAATTTCAGCTTCTTCAGGATCCAGTCTTGGGGGTCGAACACCACACGCTCGGGCCGCTGCGGAAGTGAGAAACTGAACGTCTCTTCCGGCTTTGAGATCGTAATTTCACGAACAATCGTCTCGTCAGGAGTCACCAATGCCATTTCAACGGGTACCCGGAACAGCGGAGTGAGTTCAGTCACCGCTTGGGTTTGCTTAACGGTCAGCCGAACCAGGTTCTCGTCGGCGTCCCAACGGTATTCCACTTCGAACTCGGGATGTCCCCCGTGGTAAATCCATTGATCGAAGAACCAGTTCAGTCCCCGGCCCGACGACTCTTCGATCGCCGTGCGCAGGTCGGCCGTTTCCACAACGCCGTACTCATGTGTTAGTGCGTAGTGCCGAAGTGCGGCCCAAAATGGCCCATCCCCAAGTTCTTTTCGCAGCATGTGCAATACACGACCGCCCTTGGGATAGGAGTGACGGTCGAACATCACGCTGGGATCTTTAAAGCGGTAGCTCACAATCGGACGACGGTATCGATTCTCGTCTTCGTTGAAGTACGATTCTGCCTCCAGGTAACGTGCCCATGTGGCTTCATCCCAGCCTTCGTCGTGTTCCTTCCAGATATTGGCGAAGTATGTGGCGAAACTCTCGTTCAGCCATAGTTCGCCCCAATCTTTGCAAGTGAGTAAGTCGCCCCACCACTGATGCGCCAACTCGTGGGCCACCAGGTTTTCGCTCGACACGTCAAGCTCCGCGCGGGCATCGTGCAGCGTGCGGGTGGTGAGCGTGGTGGCCGAAGTGTGCTCCATCCCGCCAGCCACGTATTCGTCAACGCAAATCTGGGCGTACTTTGGCCAGGGGTAGCGATAGCCGATTTTTTCGCAGAACAACTCCATCATCTCTGGGGTTTGGCCGAACGAACGCTCGGCCTCTTCGGTGCGACCCGTGGGCAC